GTGCTTATTTTTTCCTTAAAATGTGCTTGAAAAGTGCTTATAGGTGCTTAATTTTTTTAACTAAAATATGGCTATGAACCCTGTTAAATAATAAAGAATAGTAAAATAATTATGGTAGTTACGTAATTACGTTCATTAATTAAACAATCTGTATTTAAGGTTTTCTAATAAATAGTAATTAATATCGTTTGGAATAATTGAATACGTTGGAAATTTTGCTTTTGAAAGTGAGTAAAGGTTTTTAATTAAAAATATGTTATTAAAAACGCAACAGATTTTAAATTACGCCCAAAGGGGCGTTTTTTTAACATTTTCTGTGTTACCTGTAGTTATTAAGTATCATGTTCTTCGCACTTAACCCATAAAATTCAGTTCAGCGGCAATATCGCAAAATAATTTTAAAATGAGCATGTCTTTAGAATTTCCGATACAGAGTCTCGCGCGCTGGAGATAAAAAGTCCCCCTTCCGTACAGTGTTTGCTATTGCTCGTTTCGAAATAGTTTAGTTTGTTAATCAAAAATCCGTTGAAGTGTTACAAAATATGAAATCGTATATAAAACAAACTTCAAATTCATATTAGAGCTTCCACATGCCCATATTCTGTGAAAGATTACGTTATTCAAATTTTGATGGCTCTAGGTACCGTTATTTTATCGCAGTGCGAGAAACGTACCTACATTCATGCAGATTCTACATTATTTAATTTCTTTAAATATAATACAGGGTGATAATATTTGGTGGCAACAATTTAAAAAGTGAAACAGCGCTTGTAGTGAATCAACGCAAAATGCCAAAACGAAATTAATAATCCTTCTGGGCAAATTGCCCCTTTGGTCTAATAAATACTTATAAGCATTTCAGATTGAAATATGTTTCATTGAAGGTTATTTACGTATCTTATTTAAGATAAGTATTACTTATTTATTAATTCTGATTGTGATATCAGGAAACATATAGCAGCGTTAGATTTATTTAATATTTCTTCTTTTGTGTAATCTTTATTTCACAAAAGCATTTTCTCGCAACATATTTCAAATTGTCATTTCTAGCTCATGAGAAAAATATCACATTTCTGTATTTTTATAATATATCTCACTTTTATGTACTGTATACTCTCAATGTTGATTGTCAACTTATGAACACATTCACCCATTTAATGGGGAAATTTAGAAAGCTGTGTTTATTATCTTTTAACAGTGAGCTCAAAATGAAAGGCAACCACTGTTAAAGATCTAAAATTAGAAGCTTAGTTAGATCAACTCATTCTATAAATTTTGCTTGCATTTTACACTACATTAAATAAGGTATAAATAAATCAAAACCGTTATTTCACTGTATTTTAATTGAAAGAATTATTTTCATATCGTAGATAAATTCTCAAACCATTTTGCAAATAAAAACGCATGCGTCGTTGTTATCGTTATTGTTGTACATTCTCGTTAATTTGATGCATTGTTAGCCTCATTACTTTATCTAACTAGTGCTCACCGCGCATATTCTGTTTAGATTATGGACCTTGAACATAATGCTGAGGTCACGAGATTAGCATGCTCGTGTTTACTTCCAACTCGAGTTCTGGTTGAAGAGATATTTGCCGGGCGCAGCGGAAAATGAGAGATACCTGTTTTGGGTGAACAATACGTTTTTCCTGTAGTATGTCGAAACTTTAAATGGGCATTTATAGTTTCATTTGTATTTTTAACTTGCCAGTTTCAACGTGATACCTTAACATTAAATGAGCTTACTTCTGTATTCTTATTCTTTCGGTAGATCTTCGTCTCTTTAAAGAATTTCATGTTACATTATATAAAAAATACTATAATTTCACATATAGTTTCAAAAAGGCTGTTTACATATATACAAAATTCTGACAATATCAAGCATTTCGTCTACGAATTCCTCCACGAAAGCATCTTCCTGTTAAGCAGATAGACCTCTTGTGCATAGCCCTTATCAATTAAAGAAGCAAACAAATAACTTACGCGCACGTAATGCATCTGCATCGATTTTTACTGTCTCCTATTACCGTAAGGTGATTGCATTAAAGAACTTTTTTTTTTCAAATTGCTTATAACCTTTTTTCTAAATACAGCTCTGCAGAAACGATCGCTGAATGAAAAAGAAAAGAACTTAATTTCCATTTTTAAAAAATATCGAAACTTTTCCTGCATTGATATTGTTTATTGGAAGGAAACATTTTTGTCTGTGCGTTTAAAATTATTTTGGTTTATTCAAAAGTTTAGAAACTTTTTATAAGCGGAAACACGAAAGAAACTGGTACACCGAAAACGTTCCAAGCCATTTGGTTTCCTAGCTGTTATGAAAAGAGCTCTGTGCTTAGTATATGAGAAAAGGAAAAATTAGAGATTCCAGAAAATCTCTTTTTACAACCTGACATCTGATTCCCTTTCCTTTACCTGATACGCATACTTCCTCAATTTACTTCATTGCAAATGTGCGAGGCGAGAAATTGCAATGTTAAATATTAACAGTGTTATTCGCCACAGAATTCATCTTGTCGGCTATGCCTGGGAATAGAAACTATTTGGAAAAATAGCGGCCTGTGTGAATGTTAAGATCATGTAAGAGAACACGTAATATTTGGTAACGATCTGCATGAAATGTAAATAGAGCAGTAAACAGAGAATTGCTGTAAACTTTATGAATATGTAGATACAAATTATATGGCTGTCGGTTATATGACATGAGAGAAAACGTTTATGTGTGACAAGTTTTCGTATTTTAAATTACATAAATTAGTTAATACGGAAGCGACGTAATCGCTTAATGTTAGGTCATATTCTTATGTGAAATGATGTGTATCTTGAAATTCTGTTTTCTTTTCATAATTCTGATGTTTTAGAAACCATTATGAAGTTATGTTGATGATAATCTGTCGGAAATCACAAAATAATAATTCACGCTACCCAATTCTTCCTTCTAATTGTATGCAAGGGAATTTCTTTAATGTTTCGGGGATTATGAAATACCTAACAAACGAATGCATAAAGATGCATCGTTGTCTTTTCTCACGTTATCTGACATACATTAAATTAAAAAAGGAGACTATTTTGGTGCCGAAATTATTCCTATTAATATTTTGGAAAGTATAAACTAGTAGAACATGATATACCACCTGCTATTTCGAAACAAACCGAAAATCAAAAATTACACATTGGCTTAGCAGTATCATTTAATTACTTTTCCTGTTCCATTCCTTAAATTTTTATTAATTTAGAAATTATTTCGGTACAATGCCATTTTTCAACATAATTTAGAGGGGCTTTCTTACTGGGAATGATGTCATACGTGTAAAGCAACATTTTCTGTACACAAATATCTGTAACAGCATCAAGCTTGTTTGTTCCAACGGGTGTTTAGAAACTTTTTGAATTTTTCCCCGGAGTGATATTCGTTTCGCAGTTTTTTTTTTTTTTTTTTCATTAAAAGTCAAACTTCAAGATACTCGTGGAAAGTCAAGTTCCTTTGAGCTTACCTTTTAAGCCTACATCAAACAATGTACTGAGCTTCGACTAAAAGAATTAAATTTATTTAACACATTTGCCGGCAAAACCTAGGTTTTACCTCTTTTCAGTTACAGTGCAATAACATACTGTAACATTACTAGCTACAGTATTGCACTGCAAAATATAGTTACTGCATGTTATAAGTACGGTAACATACTATATATATCATCACATCATTTGGCTAACACAATACATTAGCAACCAATGTATTATGTTAGTCTTTTGCCTAAGTAATTCTTCTAGTTTCTGTTACTTTAAAATATACACTTCAGAATTATTCCGATCCCCCCCCCATTTGAGATCGTAACGTGTTTCATAATTGCTATATTAAGAGAAGCGCGAGATGTTAGCAAATTAGAAGATTCGACCTATTTTCCCCCAACAGCAATCGTTATTATGGTTATGAGCTATGGGTTTGAGAAGAAATGTCCATGATGTACCTATTCTAAAGCTACAGACTATAATCTTTAATCTAAAAATGAGTCTTCCTCTCGGACTCAACGGCTGCAATACAAACAGTCGTCAGGACAGAACCTCCCTGAAGAACAACTTAAGCACAGTGCCAGGAAAGGCTTCTCAAACTACAGGAGACATCAAATATTCATGTATAGTGGGTCCCAGGGAATGGTCACTTCACAGGAAATGAACAATTGGACAGACTCTTAAAAGAAGGATGCTTTATGTCTCAGCCAACGAACTTCCTAACATATGGAACTAAATGCAGCAAATTTGCATCGACAGTCAAGAAGAACGTGGATGACGCGTAGAGGGCAGCTGCTATTAGTAAAAGGTGGGAAACAAAAATAACAAGATCCATCACCAACAATCTGCCCTGAGACATTGCTGTGGCCATTGACCACAGGCCACGACTACCTCCAGAGCCATTTCCATAAAATCGTCATTGTCAGCTCCCCCATATGCCCCCTATGTAACTCAGGAGAAGGGAACGCTGATCATCTTCGCACCTGTAGTGCTGTGGAGGTAAAATCCTGAGAAAACACAATCGAAGGATGGGCACGACTATACTGGATGGCTCGACCTCAAACGGCTAACTTGCCAAAGACGGGCGTTGGTTGAAGAAGAATCTTTAAAATCTTGCAGTATTAGTATTTCTTTGCAATTCCAGCTACAAAAACTTATTCTTTTACTTTTCTGAAGTCTGTGAGTAATATCTTCGATAGTTTTCGAATTATCCAGAGGTATCGAAATCTACTTTACTGCGAGCAAATGATTTATGTATATTATTCAGCCACTTACATTACTTTTTGGTGTTGTTTCAGAGTAATAGTCCTCAATCAAACTCGAAAGTGTAATAATGTTATTCAAATAAATATCATACAATAACGGACGCCACTGAAACATTTTAACCAATTAGTAAAGCACCTTAAATATCCAAAACTGTTGTTTTCGCTAAAATATTTGTAAAAATTATTCAATTACTGAGATATTTGGTACATTTTTATATTTTCGACTATTCTAATAATATGTTTTCCTTTCAGGCTGACGCCATAACGATAGAACCATCTAATGTCCCCAACTGTGTTTCAAAAGGGAAGTCAGAAGTAAGTTGTATTCATTACTTAAGATTATTATTTTTTCCAAGTATTCGAGGAGTTATAATTTAATTTTAATGCAATACACAGAATCAGGAAAAGTTACTGTGTACAGCGTAATTACTTGCAAGTAAATTGATAGCCGAGTTGAATTAAAGGTTCAAAATAACACATCTTTCTTTTAAGAGATTTGACACCTCTTTTGACATAAAACGCCAAATTCCTTTTCTCAACGTATGATCATTTTTCAGCTTGTCAAAATCTGCTGTAATTCTATCTCTCCGTTCCTTAAGACTTCTTTACTAAGTCGTATAAACTTTGTTTCTGTCTAAACTGAAGTTTGACGCTATCTTAAGCAAGGTTATACTGAAGACCAAGTTTAATCCGAATCTGCACTAGCATACAAGAAAGTTTTCTATTTTTCTCATACTTTATGTTAAAAAACTTTAAAAAGGGAGATATTAAGGTAAAATAAATCTTGATTTGTGCGGTATATTACAAATTTATCTTGCTTTCTTCGTTTTAGAACTGCAATTTTAATCTTGTATTTCCGCAAATTTTTATGTGCCGAGAATGGTATACTTATATAATGAGATACAAAACAGATAAAACGTGTCATGAAATAATCAGATAAAAATTTTTATGCATTTTTATTATTATCGTTGCAACTTAGTATATTTAAGGAAACAATAATTGAATAATTGTAATTATTTCCCAAAATATATTGCAGTTACTGATATTTAACGTTTATATTCCGTATTATATTATACTTAATTCTAAAAGTTCAGGTTTTATTATCGAAATTGGAATTTATTTCGAAACATCTTCATCCTTTTAATATAATTAATCGGAGATTTTGAATGGTAATAAAGAACTTTACAACACTTTACTTTACAACATGACTTTAATCTTAGCTCATAAATCTAATGTAATTTTGTTTTACTATTTATCTTGGTTTTATGCAGAAGACTATGCCGTACTGTAAAAGAAGGAATAAGAAAAATGCAGAGTAATTTCTAATCCAGTTGCATTTATCCTTTTTTAACTGACTGTTATTTAATAAATTTAATTTTTAATTCTAGATTGTATTCATGTGTAGTCAGGAAAATTTAATATAAATTTTGTTCTACCCGATTTAAAAAATTACCCTGGAGATTTTCCTGTAATTTCTGAAGCAAATATTTTATTTCTGTGAGAATATATGGATACTGTTTGTTGATTTCCCAATTAAAAATCAAACGACATATTTTAGTATTAAACGTAATTTTTAAAAATAAAGATTATTTAAAATAAGAGACTATTTAAATTTTAAAAATTATTAGGAATAAAACATATATACATGAAAACATTCGTCATTTTCTTCAAAGTATAGCATTTATAATGAGGCAGCTGATCATAATATCCTAGCAAAAGTGAAATAGAGTTAATATAATAAGGAGTAAAATAGATTACGTGTAAATTTCATAATAAAACTTTCAAGCTGTCTTTGGTATTCAAAACTGAGCTAGTTTCAAACATGTTGCATTTTTAGAAAACATATTTTTGTTGTTAATGTAGGAGGAAATAAAAAAGGTACCTGAAAAGAAATCTTTAAAAAAAAAAAAAAAAAAAAAAAAACTTGCTTCGGGTTTTTGAATATGCGCATTATTGCTGCATCAGTAATTTTTAATTAAAACTGTACATTTCACTGGGTTTAGGTATTTCATGTTAAATGAAGTGTAAACTTTAGAAGCTTATATTTATTGATATTCAAAATTTTAAAAAAATAATAAATGTTTTTCCAGTAAATTCCTATAAACAAGTTTTGACTAAAAATAGTTTTTGGGTAATTTTAATAGACATATATTGATTTAATGAAGGTATAAAAAATTACACTTAATAACATAGAAGACGCGTAGATGTCTCTTGCAAGGTATTCATTTTCTAGAAATTCCAAAAATCGCTTTCGTCAGTTACTTTTCTTTACATAAAAAGAGCAATTAAGCAAATGCATCGCCAGAAGACTGGATGAAAATGTTTAATGAAACGAAGCACATTTTCTGAGGTCGGGGAGAAAATATCCTTTAAAAACACTTATCTAAAATAGTAATCGATCCTTTTCTGATTAGCATACATTATCGCATCGGATACCCTGTAATTTCATTCCCGTTTTTTTCCACCTTCTCATGGCAACGAGAAACAACAAATGGTGATTGGTGCAAATGGTAGAGCTTATGTTTTTTCATTGTCTTTTAAACGTTCTTTTACTTGATAATATGTTATTAACTATTTTCATCCATTTAAAAGGTTTTCATATCTGTGGAATTCAGAATGATTTAAGATCGGAAATTATCTGTACGCTTAAAATTAGTTAGAATTATAGGAATGACTTTTCTGTGTTTTTCGTGAAAATGAAAACGTTACTTTTTTGGGGTGTGTATGTGTGTGTGTTTCAAAATTTTTGGTAAATTATAAGTCAGATATCAAATTTATTTGACCATAATTTTGGGGGGAAGGGCTGTTGAATTGATATTTTTTATTATTATTTAAATTACCCTTATATTTAAATTTTTGCAGTTTCACTGCCAATTTTAATTTTATGCAATTTCACTAATTTCACATGTTGGTCATTCAGTTATCCAAATATCCAAAAGAATAAGCAAATTCTAGATACTAATTCACTTAGTTGTGCTGTACAAGATTTTTAATATGTTGTTAGTACTGATATGAAATAATTTTTTTAATTAATATATCGTCTAAAGTAAAGTACCATAACTGCACTGAAATAAACTGTTAATGTAAATTTCATATTTTTAAACGTCACATCAAGCGCATAAATAATGGTCTTCACATTTTGTTGCATATGATTAATATCCATATATATACAGACAATAAAATTTCATTTTTGAAAATAATATTTTATAAACATGTTTTTTTTAACATGTTTTATAGTTAAATCAATTTGAGATCTATCGACTATTAATTTAAAACGTTTCCATTCAAAAATTTAAAGATTTTTAAAACTAAGTTGTCTTTTTGAGATGCAGAGTTTTCCTACGATACGAAAATTGATATGAGATTAAATTTTCAAAATTGAAACGATGGGTATCTGTGCATTGCATTTCAGAGTATCGTTTCCATTTTGTTTTCGCAAATATCAAGAGAATATTAATAAAATTGATGAACATAAATTTTACAAAATTTATTAACCCAAACGGGCAATTTGCCTAAAAGAACTATTAATTTCGTTTTGGCATTTTGCGTTGATTCACTTTCTGCGTTGATTCACTTTCTGCGTTGTTTCACTTTTCAAATTGATGCCACCCAATATTATCGCCCTGTATTATATTTAAAGAAATTAAATAATGAAGAATCTACATTAATGTATGTATGTTTCTGGCACTGTGATAAAACAACGGTACCTAGAGCCATCAAGTTTTGAATAAAGTAATCTTTCGCCGAATATGGGCATCTGGTGGCCCTACTTTGGAATTTGTAATTTGTTTCATTATCGATTTCATATTTTGTAAAACTTTAAGGAATATTTTATTAACATACTCAAGAATTTCTAAGCGCGCAGTGGCAACGCTGTACAGAAAAAACATTTTTATCTTCAGCGCGCTAGACTGTGTATCCGAAATTCTAAAGTTATATTCATTTTAAAATTATTTTGTGATATTGCTGTTGAACACACAAAACGTTAAAAAAACGCCCCTTTGGACGTAATTTAAAATCTGAAACTTTGCAGATTTATTTTTAATTTATTTTATTTTGATAGAACATCAGCAGATATGTAGTCGTAATACACTAAACAGGTATAAAACTATGCTTATTTTAGCTTGTGAACAAAGTACATGTTTTAACGCAATTCGAGACTGAAACTGGAAAATCAGGCACCGCAACTAGATCAGAATAACGTAAAATCGTACATTCAATGAAATGCCATCAAAATAGCCGGAAAAAAAAAGATCGTAAAATCATTGCATTTTATGTTGTAATGGAATCGTTAAATCTTGCACATCTAATGATATCGCAATCGTTGCAATCTGTGACGCAATGGGAATTCAGAAAGAAATCCCGCTCTTGTTCAATTCACTCACGTAAAATATTTTCAAATCAGTTAGGTCATATTATGGTGTTCTCTTAAAAACCATACATATCCGTGACGAAAATGTTAACAAGCGATGTTTCGCTTCTGTGGAGGATCATTACAAAATTGCCCTGATATTCTAACGGCCGTTAACAGTTTACTGCCATCGAACTTAACAACTCGAGCACCCATCGCTTAACACTCCATGAAAGAAATCCTATCTGATGACTCGACAAGTGCGTTGACGTAGAGGGACAAGACGTCATTAAATTTAGACGCCCGGGCGCTCTCGGTGTTGTGATGACGCCAGCAGTGGGAGGATGGACGCATGAGGCCTTGTCTGTTTATCAGACTCAACGTCTTCTAGTCTGTCAGGAGAAGCATTGGCGATGTAGGAGGAGTGTTTAGATGGGTTCGGCGAAGCGTAGTGCTGCTTTCTCTTTCTGGGTCTAGAAAATGCGACAAATAGATGTCCCAGACGGTTGCGGCAGTGATTTTATTGTGAACGTCTCATTTGTTGGAGTGGATTGGTGGAAGTATGTTGACTGGCAGGCTATGGGATGGATTAAATTTTATTGGCTTTAGTCTGAAATGACCTAATCACATGTGGATCCGATAAAAATGATTTAGCCATTGAAACATTCATAAAAACTTTGAATTTAATTTTAGCATACTTCGGCTGACAGAAAGAACGAAAAACATTACTAAAAAATGTACGGTTTAATAAAACGTTTCATCTCTCAAGTTGCTGAAAGATTAGAACCTTTCCTTTTAATAAACTTCTGTTGGGAAATTTATGCCTAGTTCAATGAATAATGGAACTAGTGACTGGTTTTTAGAAGCATGAAATAGTTTTTAGAAAAGAAAAGCCTAGTAAATCGTTTATAATTTTGTATTTAATATTGAAATGAGTAAATTGTATTGAGAAATCTAAATCTGC